ACATAATAATCCGTTGAACATTGAACTCTCAGATTTAAAGCTGGTGTGTGCGTTCAGGTCGACAACCTGAATTTCAAATAGACGCGGACCTTACCTTGCCTTCGAGAACCAGGAAACATGCTTCCAAAAATCTATGATGAGAATAGTGTACAAATGGAAATGTTCTGCGTGTAAAAGACAGAAAGCTGTATTTGAAGTCATTCCAAAGCTCATCTCCTACATCCATTTTCCATAGGGCAGTAATCAATTCAAAACATGTTGCAATTTGACTTAGGAAGTAGATCAACTTTATATTTTATTGTCTAAATCTGATATATTTTTGTTACATCTAAATCTCTTACAGCATTGCTTGTTCTAAACTTTTGTTATGGTACAGAAAGCCTAGGTTTTCCTCAGGGAAGAGAGAACTATTTCCAGCTTCAAGAAAGTATGGTCTCCTGGCATCTTGGCTTCACCAGATGAGGAGCTCCTCTGCCTTTCTCAGCTAACCCTACCTTGCAGAGATCATGAAGCTTTTTTGGAGACCCTAAGCTAAGCACATGATGATTCCTTTTTATTTTAACTTCTTCCTCCATTCCTAGAAAACTGCAGCATGGAAAAATAAAGAAGCAAATATTTCTATAGTACAAAACCTATTGTTCCCAGAAATGGAATATTACAGAGAACTCCAATTATTCCTTTTCTCCCCCTGGTCACACTGATCTGAATATTCTGAGGATGGTCCAGTGATCATCTGAAAATTAATCCTCTGAACTGGAAGCATTTTCTAGTATTTCAGACAAAATTCTGTTTCAGTGCCAGACAGGACGCAGAACACAATGAACCACTTCTGGTTTAGGGGATTAACTTCTAAAAATTTGCCTGACCACCCCCAAAATAAATTCTTAGCAATGATAAAATGTAGGCTGGGAAATTTTGGGAGGAAATGTATAATGTTTTGTTCCCATATACATATCCAGAGTACATGAGAATACTCAACTGTGTGAGAAAGCCAAAGTGTAGCCTTTTGAAGTCTGGAGGGCATATAAATTAAGGAAGGCTTCTTTACATTTTTTTTCTCGTGCTCTTGGGAAAGAATTCTTGGTTTGCATTACAGCAGCTTGTTTATTTGAGATGATGTTCAGATTTCTTTCTCAGGAAAAGGAACATGCTCTTTCCAGTAACAATGAAAGGAATAAAAATATTTCATTTTAGGTGGTTACTACAAATACAGAATGATAGTTACTGAGCTGGGTTACCTGCAGTGAATGATGGCATTGTCTCAGAACATAGATATGTGGACCAAATTCCATATCTTATCTTCTTATCTTAGTTTCAGCTAGAACTCAGCAGCATCTTCTGATATGAATTGCATCGCGCACTCTCAGGTCTTGGAAATTTCTCAAGCTCAGAGTCATTGGATAAATAGTTCTAGGAAGACATGGTCCAGAGACCATAGACAGCTAACAGCCTTCCATCACAAGATTCAAGAGCATATTTACAGAAAATTGTGTGCGTGTGTGTGTGTAAGAGAGAGAGAGAGACTGGAGGCATGCAATTTCTTGCAGAGAAGTAGAATGTGTTATATAAATCTGATGTAATTGCACATTGGATCAAATAGCAGATAATGAGAGGTGGGGTTTGGAGACTACATTCTTACAACTTGAAATAATAAGAAGTGAAAAATTGGTAAGTTCTATATTACAAGCCTGGAAAATTGCCTCTGGACAAAGTTCAAATGCCCAGAATCATCAGAATGGATACACTATATCAATATGTCTATCAAGACTCCATTGTTTGCTTTAATTCAGATATACATGCAGAAATTGTGAAATTTCCCATTGTTTGTTTTAATTCAGAGATATATGCAGATAGTGCATCGGGAATGATTATACATGAAGGACATAATAAAAATTAAGATGAGTGAGGTATTAGACCTTACAAGATTAGGGGCCACAACTTAATATAAATACATTACTTGCAGGGGCCTGCAGAGAATAGGATAGTTATTACTAATAATTTTATTTATTATGTGCTTATAACTATGTAATACAGATGTAGAATAAAATAACAATTGAAACAATACAATTATAACATTATAATATAAAATAAGGAGGCTTTGAACATGTAACATAAACAGTGAGGAGTCTTGTACCCTTATCTCATATTCATGGAAAGTATTGTGCCAAAACAAGAAATAAAAACCAACACTGTGGTTCAACTTACATGAAATTTTAGTGGAGTATCAGTTGAAATGATCTTGCTATTCCCACTCCCCAACTCCTTTCATGTGGACCTTGATTTTTAGCAGCAGTGTCATGAACTTACCAGATATAAGTAACAACTCCATTACTGGCCAATAAAGAATTGTATATATTTCACCAGTAAAAGTTAAGCTACTGTTTGTCATTTATTCTGTATGTATCAAAGGTTAATTCTTTATCCATTCTTTATAAAGGTTTATAGACCTTTGTTACTAAAGTATATTTATGTTCTGAATGATTGAGCTATCAGTAATAACTTTCTCCTTGAAGTAAATACAGTTTAGGAGAGGGATTTCTAACAGGATTGTTGCACAATGATAACTGATCCAAGTACAGTGATCACAAGCTGTTGCTTTTAAAAGTAAAAACAAGACTCATTGATTGCACACACATGTAGCATACTTATGAGAACATCCAGATTTCTTAGGGTATTATTTTTAAAATTTGCCTTTTCTTATTACCATGGGAACAGGTAGGCTTGCCTTGATGAGAAATCTCTTGCCCAACTAAGAATCTGACAACTACAGTCCTAAGCAGTCTCAGCATTATTGTACACATGACCCAAATGTACCTGCTAAAACTAGCCTAATTGGAAATGTTCCAACATAAAAGAAATTGCTTCAGTTCCCAATAATTTGGTTAAATTAATTAGTGAGTTAAATTTTTGTTCTGTAAGAAGATGTGTTGCTGGCTACCAGCTTGGCTGGCTTCAAAAAAGAGTTGAACCAGTTCATGAAAGTTATGGGGATCCATGACTATTAGCCTTGATGGCAGGGTGATGCCTCTGAAGGCCTTCTGCTGGGAGACCAGTGGGCTTCCTAGTGCAGTTGGTTGGCCACTGTGAGAACAGGCTGCTGGACTAGATGGGCCAGGGGTCCGATCCAGCAGGTCACTGCTTATGTATTTATTTTATGTCTATTGCCTACAAAGATAAGTAATTTTTTCCCTAGACTGCTGAAACTTAATGGTGGCTTCTAGTTTTCTATTGATTTAAATTTTTAACCAAATGGTTTATAATTCCATTCTTTGTTTTGTACAAAACAATTCAATTATAACACTTTCAATGACAGCCATACACCATCTCACAAATAGGGCGTACAAAACGTTCTTGAAGTCCTGCAGCAGTGAGCTTTTTAAAAGGGCAGGTTTACTTTCTAGTATTCTAGTATAGGATAATTGTTATACGGGGCATTGCTATACTATGTAAAAGTTAATAGGAAATTGAAAGCATTAATAAACAACTATAGGCAGTTATATTTGGCACATTTTAAGTACGTGTTTTAAGTGGACTATAGGTAGAGTTCTGACCTGTGACTTGTTTAGAGCTGTTACCTTCATTGTTTACATTTCCCCCCAAAATGGAACTTTGTTCTAGAAAGAAGTCATGTTGAATTTTCAGTCAAGTATCAACTCTTCATAAACCCATATACTGTAGCTAATAAGTAACAGATTTTAACAAAATAAAGAAACACCCAGTATCCTTTGGATGGAGTATACTTAAGCACTGAACTCTTGCTGTTCAAAGGTATACTTGACAATATTTTTGAACTATTTTATATGCTAGAATAAAATTAAAGTGCAAGACACATTCTCTGATCTACCTGTGTAGTGATTTTTATATGCAGTATAGGTAGTCCCCAGTTTAAGAATGAGTTCAGTTCCCAAGGTCTGTCCTTAAGTCAAATTTGTATGTAAGTAGTATTGTGTAATTAACTCAAACCATTGTTTATTTAACTTGAATCATTATTTATTTAACTGGAATTTTACTATAATAGGCTCTATTCTTAACTATGGATCATCCTTAAACTGAGCATTCTTAACCCAGGGATTACCTGTATTGGATTTACATAATTTTGACTTTTGTAAAAATGAACACCCTTTTTCTTCTTCTCAGTGTTTAAAAGAAACAATTAAAAGGGATAATGGTTTGATGTATGCTTTTTATTATCTGGCAAAAAAAAAAAATCCCATGGGGGGGGGACAAGAACAATATTTGTGGGTAGAATCCTTACAATTTTCTGTTAGCAACATGTGCATATGTAATATCCCTTTTGGGGAGAGATAAATATGTAGTAAAAATAAGCATGAATTGCTTTATTATTTGAAAATGCTCTGAGGACATTTTAGGTGGGGGGGAAGATGCTAGGTTTGAAAGAAAGATATATTTAAAAGACTGGAGCTATACAGCTTGATTCCGTGTTGACCATAATATAAATTTGTTCTACATCATAGATTCTTGAAGGTATTAGAAACAAATATTGTATGTGGGTGATATACTCAGTCCCTTATCCTCCTAGAGTACTGAAGCCATATTCTTATTAAGCTGTTAATTCATTGTTTCATAGTGAGTTCCAGAATAAAGTGTGACATTTAAACATCTGATTTACTTTAACCAAACTCTTTAAGTCAGTGTTTCTCAACCTTGTCAGCTTTAAGATGTGTGGACTTCAACTCCCAGAATTCCCTAGCCAGCCTTGCTAGCTGGGGAATTCTGGGAGTTGAAGTCCATACATCTTAAAGTTGACGAGGTTGAGAACACTGCTCTAGGTGGTGAAATTAAATATAGAACTGGCAAGTTGGGTGTGTACTTAATTATCCCATAAATACAACCTTAGAAAGCTAAGTTATTTTCTGTCCGCTTCAACAATTGGATTTTCTTTAAAACTAGCTGCCTGTTAGTAAAATGAACCTCAAATGAGATGTACTGTTAGTATGTTATCCAGAAATAGAATCTGTCTTCCTTTCCTCTTTTTCCAGGTTTTGAATGAAGAATGCGATCAAAATTGGTACAAGGCAGAACTCAATGGCAAAGATGGCTTCATTCCCAAAAATTATATTGAAATGAAACCACATCCGTAAGTAAAGTGTCACTATTTCCTCATATATTTGGCATGCCTGCTGCCTGAGCTGTGGTGCAAAGAAAATCCTTTATTAAAATACAATGCAGAGAGCAATGCAAAGGTGACTTTGTGAATACATACATACGTGCTTATAAATCTGAGACAAGACTGACTAAAGTAGTACAGTCATCATTGTTTTATAAAGCATATAATTCAGTTACTTTGTCACAAATTTTAGATCTGTGTTTAAGAGAGATAGGCAACAGTGCCCGCAAGATATTTTGAACTACAACTCCCTTAATAATTGGACAGTTGCTGTGCTGCTGTGACTCATGGAAATTTTAGTCCAGGAGGGCATCAGATTTCCTACCATTAAAGTAGAAACTTTAGGGGCCACCTCCAGCCAAAATTCATTTGAAAATACAGTAAGTGAAAAGGTGAAGATTACATCTTCTGACATATCTCTCTAAAGAAAAACATCTTCATTCTCATGAGAAAAATTGTGATCTCATATAATACGGGGTTTTGAGTAGTAGATGCCATCAAGCTGAAGAGTGAAGCTAGTAGTAAAGTCAGTTGTTTATATTGGCAGCAGAGAAGTAGATCATGTGAACCTGATTTCCCTGTCATTGCATTCACAGCTAGTATTGCGGAATCAGCAGTTAAGGCCATGTTGTTGCTTTTGCTGCAATTGTGACTATTCATCCAGTATAATATTTAATTCTGGTCTAGTAATGGTCATAATGTAACTATTTAAAAGAAAGCCTGGGGGAACAGATTTTTGGACTAAATTCTTTCCTGTACTTCTTTCTTTCCTTCATCAGTGACAATATTATTCTTGGTAAACCTACACAAAGCCTATAGAAAATCTTAGTTTCTCAGAAAGTTTGTGTGACACATCAGCAATAGCAAAAGAGTAATATTTTTGTCTTGATGTGTAGTGCAAATGGAAATAGTGTTCTGTAAGCATTGCCAACTTACAGAAAAGGTTTGCTCCTCTTGCTTTTAATTAATTTTGAGAAATATTTTTATAAATATTGCATGGTCTCTATACTGAAAATATTTAATAACAGCTTCAGACTAATTAAACTGTTAATACCCATCAGATTATTACAGAAAAAATTCTAAATGTATGGCCTCCCTAAAACAAAATTGTGTAATATCATTCCAAAAGCTTTCACTGAAAAAATTATTCCAGTGGAGAGCTAATATTGAACACTCTGCATTTCATTTTTTGTTCTTTCTGTTTCTATTTTGTCTCTTTTGATCCATCTCATTTCTAATTCCCCTAGGTTTTAGGGTACCCATTGTCCTGCTTTCCTTGTTATGCCACAAGTGTCGATTGCTACAGGAAATACTGTACAGTACTATAACAACAGCCAGAAATTATCTGCTATTGAAGATGGAACAAGTTGTAGAAACTGATATTATATTTTAAAAATCTGTGACTGACATTTCTTTTTTGTAAGAAGCTGTTTCTTAATTTATATGCATAATAAAATCTAAACTGAATACTAAATCAGGGCCAGGAAACTCTTTTCTGTAATGTTCCTTTAGAGGTAACATCAGAAGAACACAGATCAATCGATGGAACCACTCTCTTTTCTTTTTGTTTTTGCCACCTTCAGCCTTTCATTCTCTATAACCCACATTCGCCTGAAATAATTTTTTTTTTTTGGTCTATGTGGGGAGAGGAGTGCCTTCAAGTCAGTGTTGACTCCTGGCAGATGCCTGCACTAATCCCTGCAGTTTTCTTGGCAAGGTTTTTTTCAGAAGTGGTTTGCCATTGCCTCCTTCGTAGGGCTGAGGGAGAGTGACTGCCCCAAGGTTACCCAGCTGGCCTCGTGCCTAAAGCAGAACTAGAACTCACAGTCTCACAATTTCTAGCCTGATGCCTTAACCACTACACCAAACTGGCTCTCTGAAGTAATGTACCCTCCCCAATTAATATTCCAGTGATCCAAAATCTGATTGCCCTACTCCAAAATCATATGTCATCTAAATCTCTTATCTTTTCTCAGAGATAAGAATAGCATTTTGGCAGTGGAACAAATTACCCAGGAAGGTGATAAGCTCCTCTCCTTCATTGCACCTGTTCAAACAAAGGCTAGACAGCCCTCTCTCTGGCTGGCTTAATTTGAATTTAAGTGGAGAGTGGGAATTGAGTTAAATGGCCCCTTCCAATTCTGTGATTCAATCTTACCCAAAAATAACTCCAGATCAATATTCCCCTTCCTCAAAATATCTTTCAGTGTAACTCCAGAGCCTGAAAATCAGAAGGAGAAAATAACATTGCCTTCAGAGAGTTTGAGAGGAAAAACTTAGTTGAACAGAAACATGAAGCAAATACTCCCCATTCATACTTTTCTTTTTCTCTTTCCCCTTTCAGATTAGTCTAACAAGAGAAGATGCTTTCATAGGCATATGAATAGAGATAGAGGTAGGGCCTTCCCTTCGTTCCTGACTTTGGGATATGCTGGCTGGTATTGATGGGAATGGGAGTTCAGGAACACCTGGACTGGCTACAAATTCTCCACCTCTGGGTTTAGAATTTTGCTTCCCTTGTTGAGGAGAACAAGGGGGAAAGAAGGAGCAGGTAGAAAAGAAAGGGAAATAATTGTCAGTCCTGTAGGCAAAAGAGAGACTAATGTACTATAGGTAGTCCTCAATTTACAACCACAATAGGGACAGGAAAAATTGTCATTAAGCGGGGTGGTCATTAAGCGAGGTGTCACATAACTGCACCCAGTTTTACAACATTTTTTGCGGTGGTCATTAAGTGAATCATGTAGTTAAGCATATCACATCGTTAAGTGAATCACATGGTTCCCCATTGATTTTGCTTATCAGAAGCCAGCTGGGAGGGTCGCAAATGGCAATCACTTGACCCTGGGACACTGCAACCATCATAAATTCATGCCGGTTGCCAAGTGCCTGAATTTTGATCATGTGACTATGGGGACACCAACGGTCATAAGCGCAAGGACCAGTTGTAAGTCACTTTTTCAGTGCTGTCGAAGCTTTGAACAGTCACTAAATGAATGGTCATAAGTCAAGGACTACCTGTACTCCACTGTACTCCAGAATGAATGTCTGCATCCGCTATTCAGTAAACGATTGGGGTGGCAGGGAATAGAAAAATGAAGCTCTAGCCATTTCTGCTTCTAAACATCTTGTCCCAGACAGTCTCTCAGGATCATACACAAGTACATGCATGCATGCGCGCACATGCACACACACACTTCTACTAAGAAAGTTTCCTCATAAACAACAGGCAGTTCTTGTAAAGCAGGATCAGAGAGATTGTTCAGTTTCTGTTCCAGGGCCAAGGAGGAAGGGCTAGGCTTGAAAGGAGATACTGAGGGCCAGATGAAAAATATTGCTGGCCAAATATAGTCAGCAGGCCACCATTTCCAAATCTGTTTTAGCCCGTACTCAGATGATTCAGGAGGTAATTACAGAGCGCAAGGAACAGTGAGGTTAACAGGGGCGGACTACGTTGAAATCAGGTTACAGGCTTAGTATCTGTAGGGTGCTATCCTATCACTGTTAGCTAATTAAACACTTAGTCATCGGCTTTAACAGCCATTAATTTTACGCCACCAAAAACTTATATGTAAGAGATTACTTAAGACACCAAAGTTCAATACATTTAAAAAGTATAAACTATTAATCCACCTTTATTTTTATCCTTTCCCAATAATGCACTAGAATAAAATATATAGAGGTAGTCCTCATTTAGCAACCACAGTTGGGACTGGCAACTTGGTCATTAAGCAAAGTCACTAAGTGAAATCAGACTCTGCTGATGATCTTATTTCAGATTTCCTTTGCTTTACAAACCTGTGAAGGTCATAAATGCAAGGATTGGTTGCAAAGTTATTTTTTCAGCACCATCATTAACTGCAAATGATCACTGTCTGAGGCAGTCACTAAATGAGAAATACCTGTACCCTTAATTTAAAAAAAAAATCTTTGTTTCCTCATTTCTATTCTGCCTTCTAAAAATATATTCAAAACAGCTCTCAACTCACTGACTTTGTTCTGCTGCCAACCATTCTGGAAAACCATAGTTCTAAAGTACAGTTAGGTAGTTTTGTACTTGGGATAATAATAAAGCAAAGTGCTGTTTATAGATGCCTCTTTTCAGCCATGGTTGAAAATAATTGTACGTACATTGACACCAAAAATAATAAATGTGTTCTTTATTTGCTTAATTCCAAAGATTCAACAAAAAAAAAGCTTCCAAGAGGTAGTGACATTTCCTCCCTAATAAACTTAGAACAATTATCGATCTCCTACATTTTATACTGGGTTAAAATTAGATATGAGGAAAAATAGATTATTAGGCACTACTTAAAAAAACGCTGAATAGATCATAAAATCAGCATCTTTTTATTTAATGCAATTAAATTGCAATGAGTAATTCTTGGCTTTCAGTTAGTTTGCTTTGCTCATTGGTAAAACAGTGTGGTGTGGTTTTGAATTGGCTGACTCTAGTAATAAATAGCATGCCTAAAATTACATTTTATTGACATGTTTCACATGCTGAATGTAAAACAAATTGAGGCCTGCATAATGTGGCACCATAGTGACTGACCACAAACAGATTCAGAGGTTCTTTGGTGGTGATCGGAATAAATAATGATTGCTAAGTTTCTGGGCCAGAAGCTTAGGTTGACATTCACACTGAAAAAGAGAGAACTTTGCTAGAGCTGTAAACTCCCAATCTGTATATGCCCTTAGATTTGCTTACACAACAGATCACCAAATTATGTTTATATATTTGCTAGATAGCAGATTCATCCTACAAGAATCATAATGCTGAGATATATGCATAATAGAGTACTATTTTGGGGCTCTGTAGATCACAATCCTATTTTGTTTGAATCAGTATATATTTGCAAGAAAATTCAGTTTATTTCTGAAAAAAATAACATAATATGCAGCAGATATGAAAACAAACCTAGCTTTTTGGCAATTCCTACAATATCTAACTGTAAACAGGATGAACAAATGCAGTTCTCTTGGGGACATAATGTTAGGAAGTAATCCACCAAACATGTATTTTTGTTTATGTCGAATAAGATACAGGTTTTTCTAATTCTTAAATCTCTTCTAACAGAAGGCGGCCGCATTTCCTATTTACCTAATAACTTTTCAGCTTTTAGGGTACGTTGCATACCTCCCTAATTGCGATCTTTAAAATAAACTTGCAAGCTAGTATTAATATCGCCCTTTTGGAGATAGGAGGGGGGCAGAAGGTTCAGGCTCTAAAGAGTTCATAGTAAAGGTACAATTCATACTGGGGATTTTCTGATTTGTAGCTCAGTGATGCCAACCCAAAATAGGTTATCAGCTTATGGCTCAATACAGCAAGTAATGATTGGATTCATTGAGCCATAGAGTTGGAAGGGACCATTTGAGCCCTCAAGTCCAACCCTCTCCTCAGTGTCAGAATCCAACTGAAAGCATCCCAGACGGGGGGATATCTAGCCTCTGTTTGGACCCCTGCAGTGAAACAAACCACTGTCTCCCTGGAGAGTCGGTTCCATAATCAAACTGCTCTTGCTGTTAGGAATGTTTTCCTAATAGTTGGGATCTGCCTTCCTATATTTTTAATTCCATGTCTTGCACTCTGGAACAAGAGAAAACGGGTCTTGACCTTTTTCTGTGGGACATCCCTCCAAGTATTGGAAGAGTGCTATCTACAGTATCAGACTGCCTTCCTTATAATCTGGACTTGAAACAGTTAATCCCAAAACAAGCCTGTTGATCCCAAAATCTTTAAAACAGCTAACCTAAAACAAGAAGCAGTATGACTTCATTTGTAATGATGTTGAAGATGGAAACAGACATGAAAAAACAAGGAAAGTCTTCCAAAAGAACTCCGAATTCAGAAGGAGGTTCCAACCTCAAATTGTTATACTAAAGGACACCAATTGACAAAGAGTAACCAATTCAAAGAATTCCAAACAAAGATGGGAGGAGTATACTGAAATTCTGTACAATAGAGATGTCAACATCCAAGATGAGAAAATATTCCCTATTTACATAAACCTCTAGTACTAGATGATGAAGTGATATCAGGACTCCAGTCATTACCAAATCAGAACACTATAAGACAGTGTTTCTCAACTTTAGGAACTCTAAGATGTGTGGGCTCCAACGCCCAGAATTCCCCAGCCAGCATGGCTGGCTGGGGAATTCTGAAAGATGAAGTCCACACATCTTAGAATTGTCAAGGTTGAGAAACACTGCTATAGGGAATGATGAAATATCTACAGAAATATGGCAAGCAAAAGAAGAATCAGTCAGAGTTCCACCCAAGCTACGCCAGCAATTCTGGAGAATGACACAGTGGCCAACAGATTGGAAGAGGTCAATCTACATACCAGTATCAAAGAAAGGAAACTTAATAGATTGTGCAAACTATTGTACACTATACTTAATTTCATCCACTAGCAAAATAATTCTTAGGATCATCCAATGCAGGTTAGACCTTACATGGAAAGGGAGATGACAGATGTTCAATCTGGCTTTAGAAAAGGTGGAGGAAGACAAGACATTACTGTTGATGCACATTGGATAATTGAGAAAGGCAAAGGATACCCAAAAAGTCAGAATATGCTTCATTGATCATTGAACTGAAAGTTGTGTTGATCATGTCAAGATGTTAAGTGTGCTTAGGAAAATGGAAATCCCAGAACATCTCATTGTCTTCATGCAAAACCTACAGTATATACAGATCAGGAAGCCACAGTACAGACCAAACATGGCAAAACAGACTGGCTCCAGGTTGGCAAAGGAATGAGATAAGCAGTATACTTTCCCCCTATTTATTCAACCTATAATATATATTGAGGAAAGCTGGATTGGAGGAAGAGGTTTTAAAATTGGAGGAAGAAACATCAATAATCTGCATTATGCTGATGACAATATCCTGATAGCTGACAATGCAAAGGATCTGCAAGCTCTAGTAGTAAAAGTCAAGGAGCACAGTAAAAAAATGGGATTAAAATTAAATATAAAGAAGACCAAACTAATGACAACAGGTACAACAAAAAGCCATAGAATTGACAGTGAAGATGTTGAAGTGTTAGATAGGTTTTGCCTTTTAGGATCAACCATTAACAGTAAAGGAACGAACAGTCAAGAAATACACTGCAGACTAGTACTTAGTAGAGTAGCCATGAAGGCCTTGGAAAGTTGTTCAGATGCCATGATGTGTCTGAACCTACACAGATCAGAACCGTGCCAGCAATTGTGTTTCCTGTGACATTCCATGGAATCAAAAGTTGGACTTTGAAGAAGCAGGATAGAGTATTGATGCTTTTGAACTTAAGAATTTGGAAGACTCCTGAGAATACTGCCCCTTTGTTCAACTGTCTTATGTATGGGGGGTTGCTTTCACTATGCGTTTCTGCTGTAGTTCATCCTTTCTTTGAACTGATAAAACTTTGTCCTTTCTCATGTAGTTTGGCCACTTGTTGCTCCAGGTGTTAGATTTTTTTTTCAAGGACGGTCTCAAGCTTTTATTTGCTGTAACTGTATGTCTGGTTGTCAGGCAGGAAGACAAACATGCTAGGAGCATTGCAGTTCGCAACTGCAAGGTCCTATCCATTAATCTTCACTTTTTCTTCTTATACTACAACCGGCATTTCTTCTTTGTCCTTTCTCAGACCCTCAGGTATAGCTAGCTAGCTATTCTTATCTTAGAGGAAAGATGTATTAGGGGCTCCTTTCTGATCAGTTTCCCTGACAGTTTTCCTGTTAGCTTTTCTTCTGTGCTTGTTCACTGAGCTCACTCCTTGGAATCTAGCTGCCTTATAGCCTCAGCTTACTCACCAGGAAACCATGATCTGGTTGTGTCTAAAAGTGAATATGAAGTTGTGTAGTAGTCCTCCACGTTCCACAGACTGTTAGCTTATTGTTTAGCAGTACATTCACACTGGTTGTGAACTGAGTATAATTATTATCAATTATTTGAAGCAAAGTGCTTACCAATTACTTTATAACTTTGTGGGGAGCTGTTCTGGCAATCTGTTAATCATTAATAACAGTGCTGCAGTTAAAATACACTGGTTTCATTCTGGGAAATTACTTGTGATAGAAGAGATGAAAACTATGGAAATAATAAAAATAGCAAAACTGATGGATGTAATGTATTCTTATAATTCCATTTTTCTAGCTTTTAAAAGTTAGCTAAGGATTTTCTTTAAAATTTCAAGGTCCCTTTTGCATGCCATATTACCAAAGAATTCTTAAGGGTGCTAGCTTAGCATGAATTCCTAATATGATGTCATGTGCTGCTCAACCATTCCCAACATTTCTCAAGCTAATGGAAGTAGTTAAACAGTTGTAGCCTGTTTGCCCATTCCAGAAACAATTTAGCTGGTGTTGTTGGTTGCTGCTCAAGTTCAAATAACCTGTCCAAACTTGCTCTTTCCATGGAATTTGAATTGGGCTTAATTTTCAGTTCTCTGTTTTCACAGGTGGTTTTTTGGGAAGATACCTCGAGCAAGGGCTGAGGAGATGTTGGGTAAACAGAGACATGATGGTGCCTTCCTCATCAGGGAGAGTGAAAGTGCTCCTGGTGATTTCTCCCTCTCAGTCAAGTGAGTATTACTTTTTGATTGATTTGATTTGATTTGATTTGATTTGATTTGATTTGATTTGATTTGATTTGATTTGATTTGATTTGATTTGATTTGAT